CAAATATGCAAATTAGCTTTTCTCGTCTCTATTTTGGTGAATTCTTGGGTTTTAAATTAAAATAGCTGATAGACGCTTTGGCCATTTGCCTCGAAATTTTCACACATTATTGACAAGGTGTTCCCCCTTCAAAATGCGTCCGGACAGTTTATTACGGCGAGTGGAACAAAAATAACAAGTCCGCAATTAACATGGATATATAAATTATGCAAAAATAGAAAAGAGTGAACTTTGAGGTCATGCTGTGCGACTTTGAAAGTCGTTAGAGAGATGAGTGGACGCATTTGAATTAGTAGTATACCAAGGTATCCAGTGATGTAATTTTACCCACAAATGGACTTGAAGTTTTTAAGCTATTTTTTTTTAAACCACTTTTGTCCAAAAAAGCATATTTTTGACCCAAAATCAAAAACGCATTCTGGATATTTAAAATAAAGACAAGTTTTACAAAGTTTGTATAATAAGCTTTCAGAAAATATATAACATGTTGGATATATAATACCATCTTCATTGTCTAATTACTCAATTAAAAAGCAAGCCAAATAAACTGCATCTCTACCTTAAATGATATGGTATCAATATGAATATATTTCAGCTTGCTTACACGTAAGTTTTATCTTACGTGTAAGTGTTATCATGGAGCTATCCACGGTGTTATATAACCCTATGGTATGACACAGTGCTACCCGAAATCAAATTAATGAAGCTAAGCATGTAAACTAAAACAATGTATAAAAGTGTGACACGTTAAAGATGTTCATGGGTCAATGCAGCATAATTACGTAACACATCATCATCATTATACACGTCTCATTGGCTATTTATCATAAGGATAGATTTGCATCTCCAGTTGTCTTTGAAATATCTATTTTAACGTGTGCGTTAATGGTACATGCAGATGGTATATGCCGCCATTTCTCCGTGAGATTTGCCCTTTAAAGCGTGTTCTAAGTTGTCATCGAATCTAAGTAACTCCGACCACCTGACTACACTGAATGTAGACATCATTACCTTGTAATATATGAAACCTGCAACGCCAATAAATAATAACCGTTCTGAATGAATGAAATAGTTAAATAGATTAATTAAACAAACTGTACGACGCGCATTGAATAAATGCAACTTAATTCATCATTGCGTGTGTTGTACTGAGTCACCATTGAAACAAAATTATACAACGAAATGACTGTCATTCTGATTTGTAATATTGTAATTTGTAAGTATATGTATACATGATAATATTATGCACTATCGCTTCACCGCATACGACTGTGCGCACCAATGCACTCAGCGTATGCATTCACAATGATAACAACTCCCTGCTAAGAACAAACTCCAGTAGATATATTATATTTCATAAAACAGTAATTGCCTCCCGGCGAGCTAAATACAAAATACAATTGCATCCACCGATTATGAAAACACTTTTATGACCGTAGCTTGTTGAGTGACTGGATTAAATGTTAGCCAAAATAATATGGTAGCAAGTTATTATTTTTAGTGTTTTTCAAACTAGATATGTGCTCGTCTATAATTACACCAATCATTGTTTGAGTGTTTCTTTCTATTCGTCGTAGTTTGAATGTTAGAATATATTGTTGCTACGAACAATATTGAGCCCGCATTGCATAGAGCAAATGGTTATATATTTGATACATTGGTCACGTGGGTGCAATTATTACTTGCATATTTGAACTACTACATTCTCTACTGATGAGAAGTAAAATAGACTAATCCCAGTATTATTAATACACGGTAACAATATCCCTTTTCTCTAACTGGCGACAATATTTCGGTTGAACGAACAACTTCAAGGATCTTAACTACGATTTAATGGTGTTGTTCCAGTAAACGTATTTATAAGATGTTTACTGCAAGCATAAACGTGAAACACTGGGAAATTCATACCTTTTTAATAAGTGACCTTATCTCACTTCTCGAAGTAATATGCGAAGATTTGTCTAATTTGCAACGATTAAGATTCCCAAGCTCACAATGCTTTTTGTGTTTTTCTTCACAGAGTTGCGGTTCTCTTTGATTGTAGCATCTGCTGATGTCAGTACTGGTCATTTCGACTGAACTCCGCAACTAATCTAGGAAAGACTCGAGTATTTAATCTGATTACCGTAAACCTGTGCTTACCAATCTTTCCTGCGTGTTTTGTGTTAGCCAGGAAATAAGGGATTTCAAACTGGGCAATTTGCAAGTTGTCTCACCTGCCAACGTCGTATTTGTCGGCGAGAATTCCTTTTATAAGAAGATATATATTCGCCAATTAACAATATTCTGATCACTCCAGGATTTTTGGAAGATATGATTAATGCGCAAAAATCTGATTTATCACTCGCAGTGATAGGACAATGTAGTCTCATCGATCAGTTACATAGTACGAAGTCACAAATACGATTTCTCAGTTTTGCCTTAAGAGTGCGCTGTTCAAATCGCCCACATAAGGTTAACGGCTCGTCATCAAAAGCATAGTCATTATTGTTGACTGGACATTATTGACGGTGAGCTGACTGCGTTTAATAGGCAAGCCAATTGCTATACGCGAACGCAAACATACGTGTCATCGACGCATCAAGAAACAGTCGATCCCAGGACATTAATACGCCAGGACTTTGATAAAGTGTAATTTCAATTCATTCGCTTCGGGATTCGCCAACTCGAAATGTGACTACTGGATGACTTCGGATTCAGTCCAGTGTTCTACGATTGGTGTTGCTGGCACCACAATATTTCAAACTCAAAAGTAACTGCCACTGTAAATGTAATTGCCAACGTTTCATCTTCATCTTCCACTGCCTGAAGAAAACAACATCAAATCATGTCGTTCCGGTATTATCCCATGATGTCCCTCGGCAACGGCTCTTCGGCGGACGAACGATCGCTAAATCGTACTGTTTACCCCTCACAATATTCCTGGTTGAACAATCTTATGTCATTGAACTTCACCCTGAACGAAACACTTGTCAACATCACCGTTAATGTTACAGAGGAGGTCGCTGACGTGCGAATAACGACAGAAAAAATAGTCGGCGTTGTATTTGTATTTTTTCTTGTAGTCTTCACTGTGATTGGTAACGTTTTTGTTTTATCGGCGATCATGCTGGAGCGGAACCTGCGAACAGTGCCAAACTATATGATAGGCTCTCTCGCCGTGGCGGACCTCTTAGTGGCTACGTTAGTAATGCCTGTTACCTGTGTATACGACGTTACCGAACGTTGGATACTAGGGCCTGAAATGTGCGATATGTGGGTGTCGTTCGACGTTCTGTGCTGCACGTCCAGTATACTCAATCTGTGCATCATAGCCTTAGATCGTTACTGGGTAATTACAAGACCCATAGAATACATGAAAAGAAGAACACCGCGTAGGGCGTTTCTCATGATAATCTTCGCATGGATCGCTTCCATACTTATTTCCATTCCACCGCTGTTTGGATGGAGGACCGAGGCTGACAAAGCTGATCCCAACGTGTGTCAGATAAGCAGAGACCACGCATACACGATATTTTCAACGTTTGGCGCATTTTACATACCATTAACGGTCATGTTAATAGTGTACTGGAAGATATATATTGCTGCCCGGAAAAGAATACGTGGAAAACGATATCGTGTGGAAATGAGTGCCAGCAGCATCACGCTTGATTCGCCGAAGACGGCCGTCACCAAACTAACAATGAACGGCCACAGCGGACTTGAAACCTCCGATCAAGTGGTAACGCGTGTGAGACGAACTAAGCGTGAGCTTTCAGCGGCAAGAGAGCGTAAAGCCACACGGACTTTAGGTATCATTATAGGAGGTTTCACTGTGTGCTGGTTGCCGTTCTTTATAATGGCTCTTACGATGCCGTTTTGTAGAAGTTGTTACTTACCCGCTTCTGTGGCCCGTTTATTCACTTGGTTAGGTTATTGTAATTCATTTTTGAACCCGGTGATTTACACTATTTTTAACCAGGAGTTTAGAAATGCATTTCGTAAAATAATTCTCTGTCGCTACTGTTATCGCCCGTCGTACAGATAGCATTGCCATACGGTTCACTGTGCGTAATTTACATACAGTATACACCATGGTAGCGTATATCACACACTGTGTAGCGTATTGCTTTAATTCTCGTAACAGTTAAGAAGAACTACGTAATTATGTGTTGTTTATATTTACGTCGAGGCAAACACAGAAAAGGAATTGTGTTTTGAGTTCCCACCCGCGAATTTAATGTACGATTAAAGAGTAACTCCGATCCGGCAACATTGGCATTGCAATCCCCCGGCGAGTCAGTTGCCATATTATGATATATATCCAGAGATATAGTTTCAATATCATCGCTATTAACCTTACACGATCATTTGAATATCGTATTTGTTACAATTTTCAGTATTGTATATACATCCACTGCCATTTCTCCCGTGTCGGTTAGTCAGTTAATACTCGTTAATTAATAATGTGTGTTTTTATATGATAAATAAAGAAGTGGAGTTAATACAGATGTTCAGGTCGAGTCGAACGATTTGAACACATATGGCAATCAAGGTATTAACGAAGAGCATGGGACAATATGAGGAATTTATTTTTTTGTTACCACGAGATTAAATGAGCGTAAACTATTTAGAGATTATGCTGATCCGATAATCCATGTCACCTTTATCAAAGGCAAGTTTGAATTGCCGTTCACTTTAGATAGAAATAATACACGGATTAATTATTTATGTCTTATTTTTTCAGATAAAATATTACAAACTGTTATGATGGAATATATATTTTATATAATTACTACAGTATCGGTCAATGTATCAATATTTGATAGATGTCTACAAGTCGCAATTGTTTTAATAATGGAACAACCATTTAATTGCTCTATTTGATAACACGCTTTGTTTTTTCGCGTGTATTTTTGGCTGAGGTATGTATTTTTTTGGAAACCTCGTGTATTAATATTATCGGATGCCAGTTGGGCTTACTGAACACATTCATAAACCTATATAAGCTCAAATCACTAAACCCGTAACCGTGGGACGCTAACAAAATGGGATTTCTTGTGTCAAGCGTAATATATGACCGACCTGAGACCCCTTCAATGATTTCGAAGAGTTTAAAACGGATATTAGAATGTTTTTTAAGTGCATGTATTTTTACATATTATGTTAATTCCTGCAGCATAATATATGCTTCCACGAACCCATGTCCATCTATGCACATTGATCAATCCTATAAATAGTATACACTGGGTTACCGTGTTTTGATTCCCGGCGTACGCACTGTATTGCATTTATTTATGTTTGCCCCGCATTTAAGGATATCTTATTTGTCACAAACGTCGGTAACAGATACTATACAGATTATCACACATCTTTGCAATAGTTTAATGACACTGAATTGTGGTGATAATGACCCTTTCAAAAATTGGAAGACACTAACAATGGTTGGAGTACCGCTGTAGTTTCGTTTTTGAATACACTAAAACTTATATATTGTGTGGTAATTTCAATATAATCAGGTGGCAACGTTACTATATAAGTTGTTTTTTTTTAATTTGAAATAGAACAATAAATCTATATCGAGTGGATGTGATGCTCATTTTAATCGATGCGAATATTTTATTTCTTTGTGTGGCGAATTATTGTATTTAACAACCAACTTGTTTTCACTGACGTTGGTTTATCTTGTGTCAAAGCAACTCGTGCATTAGCGATTATATGTGCGAACGGTTAGTGTTTTTCTGATGATAGCTATGTCAATCATGAGCAGCGAAGTCAGCAAACTGTCAACAGGGTGCCATATGATAGTGCGGTGAACGTATTGGGGATATCGTATGAACAATATGCAAATCACTCGCGCACAAACGGACCATATGCAAGACCGCAAAAGGTAACATATTCTAGCACTTTTTGGTGAACATAATTGAAAACACTAGGATGAATCTCATTTTAGTTGCCATGCACATTGCCTGTGGTGACGTAATTGTGGTAGCAATTTAACGCGTTGAGGCTAGCGCGGGAAATTATATTACGATTCACCACAAGCGATTCAAAAGTTCAAAAGAGCAACGGTATTAAAACTGAAACCTAAACTACAGATCATAAGCACTGGAATTTATTTAGAATCTATTTGTTTTTTATTTAAAATTGAAACTAAATTTATTATTTGGAAATTAAAATGCAACCGTTGGCATGCAAAACGTTACACCTTGCATGTCCACTCGAAGAAGCTTATTAAAAAATAGTTATGTTGTTTGCTAAAATAATGTCATTAATTGGGGCATGTACAGGGGCTTTTGTTAACTACGATGTTTTTAACCAACACTTAGCAATTTCCTTGAATTAACCGATCGACACCGTATTATTTCTAATATTTTTATCTCATAAAACAGATCAATGCTGATTGAAAAGCTCGAAATTATTTCACCTCAATTGACTCAGACTTGAGCATTTACAAAGTAATAGAGCTTCGCTAGTAAAGTAGTCACTGGAGGCTCCTGAAATCGTTTCACGTGTCAACACTTGTATATGTACATTAGTTTTTAAGCATCATTCATTCATCCTGTTATAATATAACCGCGTCAACGAGTTTATTAATTTCCAGATCCAATGAGGAAAAACAAAGTTATTATCTGTAAGGGGGCAGCGAGGTATAAAACTGGGTTATTGAATACCGATTTCCACTCTATTGGTGTTTTATTACAACATATTAAACCAGTGAAGCGATGTGTATATGTTATAATACATGCATTTATCGCATAGGATGTCATTTATATTTGCCATACTCTTGAGAAGTGTTAACTGCAAATAATAATGTGCAGTACATGATAATTTGATTCCTCGCTCACCAGTATTGTGTGTTACCAACAAACACTTATTTCAACAATTGGAATTGTAGTTATTTTACCTGTGAGATATTTAACGCGGTCTTCTCTCGTTGGCGGTTGGCTACGTCGATATATTACTAGTTCCAGTATAGTATAGACGCCTTTATGTCAATCTGCAGACCATATATGTATATAAACACATTACGTTTAATAGAGCACCTTCTCCGAGTGGTCATTCACAGCGTCGCTATATGCTTATATACATCGGTAAGCCAGTATGTGTCGCCTGCTAGAGATACGACGCGATGTTGCTATATAGTAAGAAATAAACGGAATGTGAAAATTTGTTTTCGTTCATGCACATTTACAGCTATGTTGACTTGTTTATATCACCATGAACGCATTTGTATCGGTGACATACAGGAACTGTACGACAACCAAATATTGAATGAATGTTCATGATAAGATGCAGACATTTGTCATTTGTACAATTGTGTTTGTTTGTTTGTAAAGAGTGCACCTATTTGATTGGATGTAATTACAACCAATGACTGCAGAATCAATTGCATACTTTTTCCATAGCAATTGTTACAAAGTGAGATGCTGTACTTGGTGCAATAAAATATAACGGGTAAATAATAACACAGATGTTTCTCTAAACTCAACATGTGCTTAGTGAATCATGGAAGTTCACTTCACGTACATATTCTGTCCGTAACTGAACACTAGAGTTTCCTTTCCGCCGTACGCCCTGCAGTCATATTATATTTACCTGTCACGTGTGGACGCAGATGGGAACACCAAACACTCTGTATCATTTTTCATTACGTTGTTTTAGAAGCAACACTCACGCATAGAACGTATGGCAGTTAAAAATATGAAGTTATTATTTCCGAAATAAAAGATGAAATTGTTTTGTAAAATTCTATATATATAAACATGAATACGTGAGATAACTACTTATACACTGGGTGCTTTATTTTAATTTGAAATACTAGACATCTGTTATTACTGACAACTCAGAAGCCAGGACCACACCATCCTTTTTACTTCACTGTTTAAAACACTCCTTCAACAACACACTGAAACGTTCAGGCCAGCTGCTTTAAAGTTTTCGGCGGGGAATTATAGCCGGTAAAGCGATGACTTGTCTCTCAATAATGCAAGGAATTACTAGGTAAAACGCAGTTCGTTGATTGACTACTCGCGCTGCCAATCACTTGGCCATTATAGAACAATATATACACGAAAATAAGCACTATTGTTGCTCTCCATAGACTTACGTCCGCAAAAGTGTAACGCAAAAGTAAATCGCAAATAACTGTCAAAATGTAAAAAAAAAAACGTTATATGTTCCCATTTATAATATGCTTATTAAACACTGAACAATGTGAAGATCGGGTTGATGTTGCTTTCTTGTGCTTTAGATCGCTACACCGTACATAACTCCGGTGGCAATCATTTTTTCCCCTGGTTGAACGATTTTCCACAATGACGTCACTGTAACAAGTATTGCTTGAACGCTCCAGTAAAGCGAACATGATACCTGCTATAGATACATGTATATTGTAGACACTATGCATGTGTGTATGTATGATCGTACGACCGTTAAAAACAACAACAATAAATTTGCAATAAAATATTTGTTCTGTGCCGACAATATTTTAACATTTGAAAACTTTGAAAACGCCAAATGTACCAAAATATTACTAAGACACTTACAGACGAAGAACTATTGACCACAGCCAATACCCGAATCAAAATCAGTATAATCGAAGAAAATCGATATTCCCTAAGTGTACATTGAGTCTTATTAAATTGGCTGGAACTTATCTCACGGAATGATTTGTCGGTCCATGGCGTGCTTAATAATTAGTTGAAATCCGTAGTTATCGTTTACTTGGAGTTATGACCTCATGCCCACTCTTAGTATTAAAGGTATATTACACGAGCGGAGCGGAGATAAGTAATGTGTACACATTCAT